GTCACCTTGTGGTGGCGGGTGGAGAGGGATGGGTACCACGAGCTGACCACAGGACCTGGTCTGTGAGGGATTCCCGAGGCTGGCTGCGCAGAGACAAGCTCATTCCCTGCCTGAGGGAGAACTGGGACTCCGACAGGGATGTGCTTGCGGCTCGCTGAGGCTGGGCTGGTGAGGCTGAGGGCCCAGGTTCCTGTTCCCATGCTCCTTGGGGCTCGCGGATGGGGCTGGCGCCTTTAGGCCCTCGGCCCCGGCCTCTGTTCGGCTGTCTCCTGGTGGCTTTTCCCCAGCTGCTCCCAGGGCCTCACGGCAAAGCCTCTTCCTGGGGCCGCAATCGGGCCAGGACCTCATACCAGCCTTCCTGCTAATGGCGGTGGCGGCCTGGCTGCCTGGTGCCTCCTGAACAACCTGTGCAGCTGCATCTTGCACTAGGGGTCATGATCGAGGCGTTGTCACCCTGCAATGGAGTCAGCTTCCCCCTCACTTAGGGATAAAGAATCTGGGGGAGCAGATGCACAACTTGTCTTGGAGCAAGCTCTTGACGCCGGACCCACATGGCCTCTGAGCTCCTGCACAGCCTGTTGGCTCTGCCACAGTTGGGGGCTGGGTACCCACCCCTGGGTAGTCGGGGCCTCCTACGAGGCGGCTGCGGCCCTCAAGTCCCCAGAGGCCTCATATTTCAGCGTGTCCTCAGCCCGCTGTCTGTGCAGTTTTCTCCGCCTCCAGTGACTCCGCCTCTCTTGTTTTAGATACTCGTGGTCATCGTGTGGCTCCAGTGAGAGTCACTCAAGACACAGGGTGTGGCCCTGTCTTGCCTTTCCGCCTGCAGGGGCGGGCCCTCCTCAGCCTCCGCCAGCCTTGCCTGAAGCCGTCGTGCTCTCTGGTGCTGCCCTGCTTGACCCCGTCTTGACCTTGGTGCATCCCAGCACCCAGAGTGAGCCTGGTGGCGCTGGCGCTCAGACGCTTCCTGGAGGCGCATGAGGGAGGCCGTGAACAGAGGCCGCGAGCACCGGGCAGGGTGAGGCACGAGATCCGGGGAGGATCTGGACGGGGAGGAACTGAGCATGGGGACAGCCACTGCGGGCGACAGGGGAAGCAAGGGATGGGCCTCACTCTGAAGGCGGATGGCCTCATCTTCCCGATGTTTCTCAGATTTCCTCCCTTCCCATGAGAGCAGCCAGGGCCCTGGCAGGTGACGACTGCAGCCACCTGGGTGAGGGGTGAGGCAGGAGGGCACCGGCCCCACAGAACCACACGGCTCTGGTCACAGGGCGAGGAGGGGCGCCTCTCCGGAGTTTCTGCTTCCAGTGCGTTCTGTGCCACCTTCTCCGGCCTCACCCAAGCCTCTACTAGTTAGATGCCACGTGGCTCCGAGCTCAGGAGGGGTCTGCTTCTGCTCCACCCCGGCTCTGTCACTCTGTAAGCCACAGACTCTCGCAGTCCGGCCTCTTCATCTGTGAGACGGGACTGAAGACGGCGCCCACTCTCCAGGAATGAGGGGGGCCGATAGGGCACTCCACCTGGGAGCTCAGTGAGCACTGTCTAACGTGGGGGCGGAGGTCAGGCCATCCTTTATCACACGGACTGACCTCATGCTTAAGAGAAGGCAGATGGGCACGCACAGGGCACTGAGCTCCAGCTGAGGAGGCCAGCCTGCTGGTGCGGGGAGGCGACACCTGCCCCATGGCTGATGAGGGACAGCGTGGTCATACCCATCACAGTGAAAAAGGCACTTTCTCCTCAACTCGGCAGTCTACTTGGGAATCCAAACTCACATGGGCACGAGATGACGTACCACGCGAGGGTGTTCACAGCAGCCCAGCAACAGCTCAAGATTGGAAACGACCCAGTGTCCACCAGTGCAATTAACTAGATCACGGTCCAGCCTTCTGCGAGAGCTCAGTCATGAAAGGAGGCGGGCACCCGTGTGTATGCTGGGAGACGTGGGACGGAAAGCAGGTGTAGAACATAGAGCACAATATGCCGGGCTTCGTGCAAAAAATACTTTTATTCACTTGAAAACACAGGACAATTATGGAGAGGCTACTTGGCTAATTAGCAGTGGTTGTTTCTGGGGAAGGACCTGGTGGCGAGGACACACTGGCAGGGAGGCTGGTGCACCCTGTACCCTCATGCGCCTTTTGAAGTTTATACCAAGGGCATGTGCTACCTAATCAAGAGAAAGGTGACTGCAGGAGCGCTTGCCATTTTCTCCGGCGCAGATAACGAAGGCCCACCGCTGTGATCCCAACCACTTTCCATGTGTACCAGCAAGCAAGACAGATTGAAAAATGTGGGCTGCTTTTACCTCTCCTGTTGGGTAGGAAAATCTAATCAAGAAGTCTTGCCTCTAGGAAAGCGAGTCTCGTTTCCCCGTTGACACTAAATTGACGCCCTCAGTAATGGCAGAAGACGCCACCTGGGCACTGGTGCTACTGTAGGGGTGACTGAAGGATGCCTTCAAGCGACCCTGGCAACGCGTTTTCCCAGATCAAGAGGGAACGCAGCCTGCATGCACATCGCTCTCCATCAGCTGTGGCCTGTCCTGCCCTGCTGACCTCTGGCTGCTGACCCCGCCAACGGCCAGCAAGCCGCCAAGAAGAAAACGAGACCCTCTTTCCCTCGGGAAGATGTGCTGGCTGACATTGCTAGAGGCTGTTTTGTTGCCATGTTTGGATCAGAAAAAGAACACTGCCTCTCTGGGATGTCATGCTGTGGTCCACTCAGCTGTGGACACAAGGTGGACATGAACCCCAAGAAGGGACAGACACAGAACCACAGGCCAAGGAAAGCCTTTCCTGGGAGCCCAAGAAGTCCCCCCAAAGGGAGGGTTGCTCTGTGAGGCCGACAGCTGAGTGAGCCAGGAGCACGCCCAGGAGCCCAGGGTCAGTGAGCAGTAATGAGAGCCCGTGCCTTGAGGTGAAGGCTTTTCTGAGCCTTGTGAGTGTTGAGACAAGAGAGCAGAATTGCCACTTGGCCTCATCCTGTCCCCCTAGTCCTTCAACCCCTGGAACTGTACACCCCTTCTGAATCCTAAGGGGATGCACTGCACGCTCCCCCAACCCTCCCACCAGATCCCCCCAAGGAAAGGGGACTGCTGCCTCATTTGCCAAACGACTGGACGAACTAAACCTGCTTTCCACAGAGGTTCAAAGCTGCAGAAGGCACACCATACACAAGGCAACTATGGCTGGGGCGCAAGTGGTTGAGCTGCCCAGTCTTTCCCTGGTGGCTTCTGACGCGCTTGCGGGAAAGCAGGGCTGTGGGAGAACAGCGGGAGGACTGCTGGATGGAGCTGAGGACAAGGAGACATGGGCATGTGAGCACTGCATGTCTTTGTTAAAGTCTGAACTTCTGTATCATGTGCCAGCACTACCTGGTTAGAAACAAAACTTAAAATCAAGGTGAAGGACTAATGACTGCTACATTACCAACCTTAGCTCAAAAAGTCTGCTTTGATAAGTTACCCTGGATGCGTCTCTTCTTTGTGAACCCCTGAAACCACCTATCAACAGAGGACCAGACTGAGGCTGCTGTCATCAGGCAGCGGCCCATCACTGTCTTCTGGGTAGAGGTGGCTTGGGGAGGAGCAGACCATGGACAGTGAAGTCAGACCTTGCTTTGAACACTATTCTGCTTACTGGCCACAGGACCTTGTGTGGTGACTCGCCCTGAGACATGGTCTCAGCTCCCACACAGTGGGAATGACACTGGTGGCAGAGCTGTGTTCAGGTCAGAAAGGATGGGTCTAAAGTGAGCAGCACTCAGCCGGTCTGCAGAATGTGCTGTCAATTACAGCAAAGTGAGGGCAAAATGGAGCCAAATGCGAACATACTATGATCTGATGTACTCGGTTATGTGGGGCACATGATCCGTCCCCTGCCACGCTATAGGCGAGCACCGGGGAGGCAGGGCCTGCTTGCTTACCGCCCCATCACCAGCCTGAGGCTAGGCTTGAAGCAGATGCCATCTTATTCAGAGACCTCTCGGGGCTGCTTGGGATGGCCAGCGGGTTTCATCTGGCATGTCGACTCTGGCCAGATGGCAGTGGCTGCTTGGAGCCCTGTCCCTCAGGGCTGGTACACAGCCACATTGCATGGCCCGGTGCAAGGGTGTGTGGTGTCCCTACAGCCCATTTTTGAGCCTGGGCTACACACTTCATTTGAATGAGACTCTGCTTTTCTAAGCGTGGCTGCTCTTCCTCCTCGTGCTCACGGGGCTCTGTCCTTTCAGGGTCGATAGAGACATGTTCAAGCACTGACTCTGCCGAGGAGCCCGACTGCCCCACAGCTGTGCACAGGGAGTGAATCACAATTCCGAGCCACAAGCATGTGCAGGAAGAACAGAAGGATTCAGTACCCACACCAAAACCGCGTGTCCCTACCGTGCCACATGCCCACCAGAGCAAGCCAGACTCAACAGCACCCAAGGGTGTGAGCAACCCCACCCTGCAGACGAAGAAAATGAGACTCAGAGAGGAGGGACGTCCGCTCTGGTAATGACGCAGTGGGGATCTGGGACCCAGGGCCGTATCTGCTCTGAAGTAAGGCTATCACCCCGATGCATGGAACCACCTGGGAGCTTAAAACACCCCCAGTGCCACAGCCGCATGGAGATGCCACTGCTGCTGTTCTGAGTGGCCCACACTGGCACACATGTACTTCTACATGCTGCCCCACCGTGAGTGAATCTGACGTGGGACTGTAGATTCAGATCCTGCTCTGAGGGCTGTCCTCTGTGGCCAGCCTCCCAGGGGCTGAAGCATGAGGCATGCACCTTGGATCCCGCACCCAGACTCTAGTGTCAGGGCTGGGAGCCTAGGGAGACCCCCAGTCCATGACGGTGGCAGCCCTGCAGCCTCCCAGCAGCACCACTGAGCAGCCACAGGGGTGATGTCCTCAGTGTCCTCAAGGCAGAGTGAGGCTGACCACGGCCTTCCTCAGATGTGTCCTGAGCAGGGCAAAGGTTAGCAGGCGAAGCTTCGTGACAAAGAACACCAGGCCGAGGATACCAAAACTAGCTTTAATTTGTCCAAAAGCCACGCAGAGTCATCTAAAAACTGTCTCGGGAGAGAAGCTGTGAGTGAGTCCTCAGCGCAGGCCTCTAGAAGTTCTCCAGCAGGCCCAGGATGCGCTTCTGCTCATTCTCCCGGAACTCGGGGCTCCGGCCGTCTCCGATGTTCTCCGCATACTCTGGGGGGACAAAGCCAGAGTTAGGTGTGGATTGCAGGCTTCACCGTGGCTGGGTCCCTTCATACCTCTCCCGGAACCCCAACTCCCAATGAGGCGCAGGCTGTTCTAATGCCCCGCGGAGGCAGCCGCATGCTCTTCAGGGTCTTGCCTTCGGAGGCCCTCGCGGAAAGGACCCCGCTTACCTTTCTGTGCTCAGGTTCCTCTCCCAGCCATACCCTCTACTCACTCCCTCATCTGTTTATTCACTTGCAGACACAGTGGATACTGCTGCGGTGCGAACATTTGTACTCCCTCTGAGACTCATGCTGAAACCTCATCCCAGTGCAGCAGTGTTAAGAGACAAGGCCTCAGGAGGTGACTAGGCTGTACCCTCACAGCTGGGCTCAGACCCTTATAAAGGGCTCTGGGCACTGCTCTAGCCTAGTGGTCTCAAGAGTGTGGACCCTGGTCAGCAGCATCAGCATTAGCAACTTCCTAGAAATGGAGACTCTTGGGCCTGCCCTAGACCCACTTAACATGGGGCCCATGATCTGGGTTTCACCACATCCCCCAGGTGATGTTGATGCTCAATTCTGAGAAGCATTATCTGAGGGCCAGGTAGATAAAGGCAATGGGCATGAGAATAAAGCAGTGATAAAAAGATGCCAATCTGCTTGTGTGGAGCCCACTTCCTAGTGAGGGCAACGAACCAAAAGCAAATGAAAGACATGGGATAGCTGACAGCAGGCCTCACGAGAGGGGGCTATCTGGGAGTGAGCGGCAGTAGGACGGTCAGACAGGGATTCCAAGGAGCTCACCTGGCTCCTCTGAGGGTAAGTAAGGTCAGCATGACTAGAACCTGGAGCCCCGATCACGGGGGCCAATGGGCCCTTGAAAGGACGCTGGCCTCTTCTCGGGATGCAGGTCTCTAAGAGGTCTGAGCAGGAGGTCATGGTTTAACTTTGATCAGATCCCTCCAGCTGCCATGTGAAGACACCCTGAGGGCAAGGGGATGCAAGTGCATGGCAGCTTGGACCACGCAGGTGATGGGGCATTGAGAAGTTTTCAGACTGATGTGTCTGAAGGTTGCTCCAACAGGATTTAAGAAGCTGGAAATGGGATGTGAGAGGGAGAGATGTGGGTGTAGAAATCACCAAGAAACACAAGAGTAGTGGAGAAGGTGGCAGTGAGCCCAGATCCCCCAAGGACTGAGGGGGGACAGGTCCTGGTGCCAACAAGGAGTGGCTGTGGGTGGTACAGTCCACTGATGCGAGAGTGTCAGACAGATAAAGAGAGGGTGGTCCAGAGGTACCATGAGAGTCATGAAGGACCCCCCCTTGTCCCCAGTGGTGGGCGCGGTGTCGGGGGGAAGCAGCCCATCTCAGCCCTGGAGAGCCAGATATCAGGCAGAGCAGGGAGACAAAGGACCCGCTCGCGAGGAGGATGATGCTGAGGACGGAGGCCGTTGAGCACTTGGTCACTGAGTATTCAGGTGGGCAATTACAGGTTCTGGTTTACCCTACTGTCCCAGTACAAATCAATAAGCTCCATTTAATTCTCAAAAGTGTCCTGATCCTCAAATTATGTGGCCACCCTGGTTTTAGGAGATGGAGAGAGGTGAGCTGGTAGCCCTGAACTTCCTGTGGTGACTCCCAGGAGCAGAAAAAGAACCCAGCGGGAGAGAAGGGGAGGACAGAGGGACCCAACTCCTCGCTGCCCACACACACAGAGGGGAGATGGTACAACATCGTGGGCTGTGTGCAAATCCGGTCTCTGACTTGTAACTGGGTGGTCTCCTCCAAAATGAACGTAAAGAACCTGACAAATAACAGATGCTCAGGAAACACAAGTCCCTCCCTGAGCCTCCTTTGCCCGGGCCAGGAGGGCACTGGGGAGATCCACACACCCTTCAAGGTCCACCTCGAGCCATCTCCACGCAGGCCTGTCACCTCTCGCTCTTGCTCCTGTCCTCAGGTTATTCCCCCTCCACACTTGCAGGCCTTTCTTCTAGGCCATCTTTCACTTGGCCCTCCTCTCTCTAGACCAGGCGCAGCCTGAAGGTAGGGCTCAGGCTTGCTCTCAGTTCAACCACCAGCTGAGTCTGGCTGACAGCTGGCCAGCAGTGTGGCGTGGGGAGAAGGCTCTCAGAGGAGGTGGCCTGGAGGGCTGCTTGCACTTCTGCCCCAGCTCCCTTACTGGGAGAGGACTCTCTAGCAAGAGGATTGTGCATAATAAAGTGCCTGCAGATCCAGATCCGACAGAGACTGGGGAGAGAGAAACAAGTACGCAGCCCCCAACCCCCATCCCAGGGAAATAATTTTGCTCCCGCCACTTCTTTATTTTTCCTTCTTCCTCTTTATTACTTTGGACACGTGCCGGAAAATGGGATTTGGGATTCAGACATGTGCCAGCTGTGTGTCTCCCCCCGGAAATCATCCTCCTCTGCTAGGCCCATCCATCACCTCCAACAGCAAATGGTTGTGATGCCTCCTATTAAGGCCCCTCCAAGAGACGGCTGGGGTAACGGAGAACAGAAGCTGAGCTGCGGGAGAAGGCTCAGGCTGCGTCTAAGTGGTGTCTCTTACTCACATGTGAATGATACAGTTGCTGCCCCAGGAGAGAGAGAAACGACCATTATGGCATCTAATATCCCCGGAGGCATGGTCTGGAAGCAAGAGTCTTAATGGATTGAGCTAACACTTTGCTCTCCTAATGTCTTCTCAGACCCAAGAGGGAGGGAAGTGGCGAAACAGTCTGATGCTTTGGGACGGTGAAAAGCGGTGATTTTCCAACGGTAAAGCCAGCTTCCCTGGAGGGACCTGATCTCTTTCCAGGGACACACAAAGCTGAGGGAGCCTGCAACTCCCTCGTGGAATTACCTCTGCCATGGCCTTAGAAGCAGCACGTGGCCCTCCAGCACACAGAGCACCCCCTCTGGGTAAGTGTCCTCTGTCCCTCTAACTGTGGTGAGGAAGAAGTCAAACTCCCGTTCTCTGGAAAGGGGCTGTCTGGCGTGGGCGCAGGCAGGGAGTGGACAGTGGAGTCGGAAAGGGGCGGTCACACATGGTGGAGCGGGCACAACAAGCGGTGAGCACTTGTGTGCGCGCCAGGCATTACATACGCTGCAGCCATCAGCCAAGGTAAAGAACATCATCCCTGCTTACAGATAAGGAAACTGGGGCCATTAGAGAACTGAAGCAATCTGCCAAGTCTAGGATGGTAGAGGGGCTGGAATTGAACCCCCAGAACATGTGTGAACAGTGAAGAAAGTCACCTAAAACGCCATGAAGGGGGATGGTTCCCACAGTGACCTCGACTTACTTAAGCAATATGCTACTCTGCTTGTCCCTAATCCTCTGGGGAAAAAAAATCCCTGCTCCATGAGCATTCCAAAGCAGGAATGTCTTATGGAAGCGGCCTTGGTGACCAGGGGTAGGTGGGCTGGGGTCACACTCCCTTATGCCACGTCACTGAGTAGCAGAGCTGGCAGGAATCTCAGAAAGGTACTGTAGCCCTGAAGGGGCAGGAGACTGGCCAGGGTGAGCCAGTCATGGAGCTGGACTTAGAAGCAGGTAACTGGCCTCGTGCTCTCCCACTCCCGGTGGCTGTACCAGCTGTGTTCTGTGCCCTCATCCCGGACCCTCACCCGTTCTTTGTTTCTACAGGAGAGCCCCACTTGGAACAAATCTTGGTGGTGCCAGCTACCTCTGGTTATTAGAGCTGCTGCAGTCGTTTATAAATATTGAACAGATTCCTCCCGGAGGTCTTGGGAAAGAGTTCTCTTTGCTGTGTGTGTGTGTGTGTGTGTGTGTATGGGGGGCAGGGGGGGAGAGAGAGAGAGAGAAGGAGGGAGGGGAAGGAAAGGAGAATGCAGAAAAGGGAGATGCTGGAGGAAGGGAGGGCTGCAGGGTGGGGGAGAGGGTGGGCAAAGGATGAGTTGGTGGAGAGTGAGGAGGACGGCACACACATCAACTCCCTTCTCCACTTCCCCAGCATTTTCAAATGCTCTTATAATAAAGGCTTTGATGGAGCTCAGAAACAGGCAGCAGTGCTGAACGCATAAATATTAAAGCAAACTTTAGACAGCAGGTTTACTATTCAGACATGGAATACAAGCTGTTCTGTTTATGTTAAGAGGGAGAAGGAGGGGTGCATTGAGCTGGTGGATGGCGAAGAACTGTCTTCTGGGCAGAGACCTGGACCAGTGCTTGCTCACAAGTCAGTTCAGACCCTGGACCTTAAGCCGTAAGTGCTCACCCTTTAAAAAATGCAGGAGAAAGCGGGAGGGGAGAGAAGAGGAATGCCAATATTTTCACACTGGAAACCCTTGAAGACATACAAATAACTGCAAAACAGAAACTGGGAAAGGAAAATCCTTCAGGTCTAACAGAGATTCCTTAACGATAACAATAAACTTGGAAGGTTTAAAGGTTACAGATCTCTAGGGAGAACATTTTGCTGGGCTGTGAATATAATTTTATCAGAGATGTCATCCAAATGAAACTCACTTAAAGGACAAGGAAGCTTACCCTTTGCTTAGACACTAACAGAGTCACATTCCTATAGCTCTGGGTATATTTTGGCTGGCTGGAAAAGCACCCCTGATAACCACCACCCCCACAAGACCCCGAGAGGTCTGGCCTGGGTGCTGGTCCATGGCTTTCCTGTTTACATCTGAGTCCAGGCAGAGGACTAGGTCATGGAGGGAAGGGACTTCCATTCACTAAGCATGTACTTGGTCCCCAGCACTGGCTGCCTTTCAACCTCAGAGTTCCTGATACGGGCAATATTTATTTTAGGGTTTTATTTTATTTTTTTACAGAGAAAGAAACCAAGACTTAAAATGTTAGCTACTGACTTGCCCAGAGTTACACAGAGGCCCAGAACTGATGCTGGTCTGTGCATCTCTGGGTGCACCTGGATACTTGTGACCACAGTAAAGATAGCTAACATTTATCAAACGCTCTCGGTGCCAGCCAACGGACAAGTGCCTTCCACACAGCCCCCACCTAATCCTCATG